CCAGCCCTAATCTATTATATATAACAACATTACATAATGTTACATAAATAGACTAGAATGCCCCTGATTAGTGGAGGGACACCTAGTCAAATAAACACTAAATAAGATTAGGCCCAATAACTAATGACTTAAGACCCAACAAGGATAAACATACAAATTACGACAGCCGAACCAACAGTAACAACTGGAGAGGGTAGTGATAATAAGGCAAGTGTTATGATTTCCCCTGATTACCTGAATGTTTAAATGACCTCTATCAAATTAAATGGTGAGAACTATGTGCCATGGGCTAAATTTGTTGAAGTGTTTTTGAGAGCCAAGAAAAAGGTGAAACATGTGAGAGACGAGAAACCCTCTTTTGATTCTCTAGGGTTTAGTGAGTGGGAACAGGAGGATGCACAGATTATGACCTGGTTGTGGAATAGCACAAAACCTAAAATTAGTATGAATTTTATGTTCCTGGATACAACCAAGGAAATTTGGGACCATGCTAAGAAACTCTATTCTGGCCAAGATAATACCACTAGAGTGTACCAACTTTACCAAGAGTACTTTAACTTGAAGCAGGGTAATCAAAGCTTAGAAGAGTACTATGCAAGCATGAGAAACCTCCGTAATGAGCTTAATGTGTATCACCCTCTGATTTCAGATGTTCAAATTCAGCAGCAACAACAAGAGCAACTTGATGTGACAAGGTTTTTAGTGGGTTTAAAACCTGAATGTGAACCTGTTTGAGCACAAATATTGGGTGGATATGCTCTCCCCTCTCTTGAGGAAGTGTTTACATGACTTCAGAGGATTTTTATGGACCCTACGGAGTCTTCCTCTCTCTTGGACAGGTCTGGTTTTGTGGTCACAAGAGGTGGTGGAGGTGGTCATGGATTTCCAAGGACCCAAGGTGGTCCTATGTTTAATCGTACTAGTGGCCATAGTGGAAGTCGAGAGTGAGGGGAAGGTCGTGGCAAAAGAAGTACCGGTACTAGAAGATGCACATACTGAGGATTAGAAGGACAAACTGTTAACTTATGTTATGACTTACATGGTCCACCCAACACTTGGGCTAATCACGTTGTGACTAGTGGTGGTGGTACAATTAGTGAGAACCAACAAGTTAATTAGACCCCCTCCACATCTACTGGTGCTTCTGGGAAGGAAATGGTGAGTGTCCCATGTGAGATATATGAGAAGTTTCGTAGGACACCCTCTCAGTAGAACACAACTACTCTTGCACATTCAAGTATGGCTTGCTTGGCTTCCAAACCCTCACACTAAATCATTGACTCTAAAGCCTCTGATCATATGATTGGGACTCCGTATGTGTATTCTTCACTTTCTCAATCTTCTACATCCCAAATAGTTACCCTTGTTAATGGTTCTACCTCTCCCATTTGTGGTATTGGTGATGTTGATCTTACCTCCTTATCTTTATCCTTTGTCTTATATGTACTCAAATTCCCTTTTAATCTTATGTCTGTTAGTAGATTAACCAAGTCACTTAATTATTCCATAACCTTTTATCCCTCTTCTTGTGTGTTTCAAGATCTCAAGACAGGGATGAAGATTGGTGGAGGGCATGAGGGAGGTGGATTGTATTATCTTGATGGTGGTGGTCCAAAAGTAGCTCTTCATTCCTCTCTTACTCCTCTCCAGTGGCACTATAAACTTGGTCATCCGTCATTCAAGGCTCTGAAGTCATTGGTCCCGTCTTTAAGTCATCTTCCATCGTTGGATTGTGAGTCTAGTCAGATCGGGAAACACCATAGAGTCTCTTTTAGTCCTAGAGTTGATAGTTGTGTTTTGAGTCCTTTCTCTTTAGTCCATTTAGATGTTTGGGGTCCAAGCAAAGTAGTGTCATACAATGGTTATAAGTATTTTGTAATTTTTGTTGATGACTTGTTAAGGATGACATGGCTCTATCTTATGAAATACAGAAGTGAGTTGTTCTCTATTTTTCAAAATAATGCAAAAGAGTACACCTCAACACCATTTCAGCAATACTTAGAGCACCATGGGGTAATTCTCCAAACTTCTTGTTCTTAATGGTTTAAAATGTCCTTAATTTCCCTAATATTTCCACGACATATTTCCATTTCCATGAGTAGTGACATGAAATTTTACTGGAATCGACATTTCCCCAATGAATACTACTAGACCTACATGGAGAACAAGAGATAGTATTAACAACATATTTCCATTTTCACTTCCATGGGTAACAACATGAACGGCTGTGAAGATTCTAAACTAACACGAGTCTCATATGTATCCAGTTTAAGGGTATTACACAGAAACACACCATAATAACATGAATCAAATATGTACTTTATTCATTTACATTAAATGTCATAATGTACATCATTTTGATTGGAGCTAAGGGCATACACTGTCTAACATTTTGATGGTTTTAAATATACTTCTCCATAACTTCTTTGATGGAAACAACTCATCCTCTAGTGTTTCAATTCCTTGAACATCTTACTCTCAACTTTTTGGAAGACCACCTACAGCAATAGTAAGAAGAGGTGATCTGTTTCAAGTGGGAGGAGCTAGAAGAGCTAGCAGATCAAAAAGGACATATGTGGAAGTAGTTAGAAATGATTCAAGGGCCCATAATTTAACAATTGACATCATATCATATTCAATATAACAGAATGGGGTAAACAGGATTCATGTAGCTGGCTCCATATGGATGGGACAAAGCTTTGATGAAGATGATATTTTGGGTTACCCACCATCAAAAAAAAAAAAAAAAAAACTATCCATAAAGAATGATACTTTGGGTAGCCTTATCCTTGTTGGTGACAAAAAGACATGTAGTTGCACATGGATACATGTAGGATAAATTTCTGGATGTTAACAACCATATGGGTTAAACTTCAAAACCTTGCTGTAGATAAGACATAAAACAATATAAAATTCATTGCTTTGTTTTAAAACTATAAAACAATATAAAATTCATTGCTTAGTTATGAAGATTTTAAGACAAACCATATTGAAGGTTCCTTCAAGCTTGGTATGTTTACACCAGCTAATATTGTTTCAGTTCTGTCCAAGAGATATTTAACAGCCAACTGAACATCTAAATCCAGGCTACATTTCAGTAAAATACAACTATTCAGGTTGAACTAAGTACCAAAATAAAAATCAGTCATCCACTACCTAGTGAATATAGGTAAAAGATAGTTTCATACATGAAAAAGTCATAAACAATATTCTAGCATTAAAACTTTCACAGGAAAATAATGCCAAGCTCACCGATTAAGACGAAATAAAAAAAAAAGTAACAATTTTCTGTCATATCAAAGCGTAACAACCTGATCAGCTGGCCAATTATAAACCATGGACATCATTTCTCCACGGTCTGCAGCACTAAAATACATTCCTCTTGGCCTTCTAAACAAGCCACTGTAGTTCTGGCACACAAGTCCAACAGTTGGTGTATAAACTATAGGTGCATATTCTTCAATATTATCAATTAAAACCTGTCAGATATAGAGAAACACTATTAAACCAAGGGATGTAGGAAGATGATCTATTACAATTAGCAACAGCATATATCTTCTCGGTCATAAAACAGTAAACCTCAACAAGTTATAGCAAAGAAAAAATTCAACTTTCATCAAAGCATATAAAAGTAACATCACTGATTTACCTTGTAATACATTGTCTCATTTCTGTCATGCAACCGGTTGAGTATCCGCCACTTGGCCAAAGCATATGGATCAGATGGTCCATCTCTTGCATTTTGCTCAAGCCTTTTCAGATCAACCACTGTCAAAGAATAAATTTCAAGTATGACTCTAAGAAACATAAGAAGAATAAGGTGATAATTCAGGAAAAATGATGTTACAAAAACCATATTCCTAGACAATGCACTAATTGGTCAGTTGTGGCCATTGTGGGATAGGTAGAAGTATTCTGGAATTTACTAGCAGGTCTTTTATGCAGGTCCTGACAAATGGTTTAATGAACAACAAGATGGCGTGCAATGTTCAATTTTCAAAAGAGGAAGGGACCAGGCTGGCAGTTAACCAGGTCCAGGTTTGGCCCATGTAGCCTTACCAGGCTCACTTCCAAGGTGAGGCCAGAGTAGCTCTTGTAGACACACCTGCATCCCAACCATTTTCCAACCTTCCATTTATGCTGGCTATTACTTCATGCCACAGTCTATCCCTTTCCATCGGCCACCTCCAAAGCCATCCCCCCCC